ATTTGATTTTTTCCAGAACCCTCCTGATGGGCGGTCTTAGGAGCCCTCCCACAGGCACGGACTGCTCAGTGGCTTGTTTAGACACACGGTAGCCTGCCAGTCTTAGGAACTTTTCCAATCTCACTCCTACACCTGCCTCACCTAGGTCAGCAGCTTCTGACCTTTTCGGAGGCTCCTGCTGAAAACCATTTTTTCTTTTCCAGGCCTTTCTGCTTTTAACTGCACTCTTTCCCCCCAAATTATCCATACTCTAGGCTTCCCTTGAAAATGGCTGTCACTCTCCCTAATACACACATGGAAAGAGAGGGGGAACATAGGCTATTCTATTTTCATCTTTTTTTTTTTTAATTTTGTCAATAAAAATGAAATTTGGTTTCATGGGAGATAGCAGCTGCCTTAGGAAAAAATGGTTATCTGGCTTCGATTCTTGTACAACAGTATGTAGTGTTCATAAGGGACTTCTCGATGTGTCTCAAAGGGGTCCTTTTTCTAGAAATAAGTTTTTTTTAAAAATAATTGATAGTGAGAGGTTCTGGCAGAACATGCCATCCATCCTCTGCTTTGGACCACTGGGTTTTCTTTTTGGTTGTCTTTTGTGATCAGCTCCTGTTCCGAGGCCCCTCATGGGGACTCACAAGAACTCCAAAGTCTGGCAGGGGCAACTTTAGCTGGTGGGCTGGGGCCCAGGTGGGCTGCTCTGAGGTCGGTTTTGCTGAAGCCAAGCTACCTTGGGTCCTTTCCTTTCCCTTTCCTTCCCTTTCTCATGTGATCCTCTTGACCTCTCCCATCCATTCTTGATGCTTTCTCAGGACTCTCCTGAGAAATGCTTGGAATATAGACACTGCCCCCCCCCCATTGCCTGTGTTTGCTGTCAACTGGGGGAATCAAGAAGGCAAGCAGGAACTGCTGGCATGTGTGACGGGGTAACTGGAGTGATTGCAGAGAAGGAAGGGATGGTGAGACCAAGACTATCAGGGTTTCTTGGTTGGGGTGGGACCTGGGCTGTGGACATACACCTGGACCCATTCTCCTGCTTTCCAATTTCTGATCAGTGTCTCTCCCTCCAGAATCTAACCAGAACCTGAAGGTGTGAGGGAAGCTAGTTACTGTGGTCTGCAGTAAAGAACAGATTCAGAGTTGCAAGGAGAACATTTTGTCCAATGGGGTCATTGTTTTGTGATGGTTTATTTGACATAACCAGCCATTTTGGAGAATTCTGTGTGCCAGGCACTGTGGTTGGTGTCTGGGGAGATGGCAGTGAACACCAGTCCTGCCCTGCTGAGTCCTGTGGTCTTGAGTAGCAGTTAAGTGACGGTGGAGGTGAACGAGTCTACCTGTGACATCTGGAGGCTTAGCATAAGTAGTATTGAACAGTTCAAAATCTCTATATCATTCTTGGGGCTGCATTGTGAGATGTGTCCTTCGATGACTGCCTGCTTGCCCCAGGTATGGTTGGCTTAGCATTAGAGAAAAACACATTTATACCCAATACAGTGACTGAGGGGACAAGAGACAAGGAATATGCAGAGCAGTCGAGCAAAGAGAATTTGTGTTAATTATAACACACAGTGCAAGATCATGCATGTACAATAAAACAGTGGGTGGGATGTTGGTGGACAAGAACATTGGCCACTTCACTGTGATCTATTTATTCCCCCTAAGCCTTTAGTTCACTTGTTAGAGAAGTACATTCCCAAACACCCCATGTTTGACTAGAGGCCCAGATGTGTGCCCCACAGCAGACATGGAGGCCACTCACACCTAACAGCATGATGCTATGGAGTTAGTGGCTTCAGATCCCTTCTCCTCTCAGTGTGTCAAAGGGCTGGTGATTGCTGGGTGGGGTCAGGATGAGGCCCTTCTCACCCGAGAGGCTAGCAGTGCAGCAGGCCCAGGGGCACAACTGACTCCAGCCTGCCTCTGGCCTTCCACCTTCTTTGCATTTCTTTTTGGACCCAAGCTGAGGCAGGGTGGCCCATTGCAATGGGACCTGGGTTTGGATCTTGCCTTTGTCACTTGCTGTATGATGCTGGGCATGTCAGGTGATGTCTCGCCTCCATTTCCTCATGTATGAAACAGGGAGCAGGATACCTAGATTTAGAGCTTGTTCAGGGTTATATAAGACATTCTTTAAGTGCCCAGCACAGGCCTGGGAGTGGTGTCTTCTTGGTGAATCCTCCCCAACACCAGTGCCCAGTGTCCAAAGGTTTATCTGTCCACCACAGTATCCTTCTCTGGCGTCTTACCAATCTCCTGGTGCCTTGGTAAGTAGTCTCCAAATTCATTTCCTCTAGTCCTCTGAACATGAACTTAAGTTGTCAGCTCTGGTTTCTTGGTTTTCTCTTGTGGGACCAAACATTTTCTCTAACTTACCCCAGCTAATTACCTGGATGCCAGGCTGAATCCCAACCCTGCTGCTTTGACCCTCCCCTAGCACTTTTGAGTTTCTGCATTATTTGGCTCCCTCTGGTCGAACTAGAAGCCCATAGAACCCAATATAAGATACATTTAATAAACATTAAGTGAACTTCAATGAATATAGTAAACTGGAGACCTGCTCACCCAGGGTGTCCCTAAGGTCACAGCTCTACAGCTCTTAGCCATAGTGTAGGGGTCATGGTGCCTTCAGTTGCCCCAACTTGCCATTGAAACTTCCCATCCCTGGGCTAAGGAGAGCCAGGCACACAGGCTGACCCAACACTGGCTGAGGCGATAAGGCTACTGGAACCCAGTTGCTTGCTTGGGACCTGTGTATTCACTGTGGCTGAGTCTAGTTTGTCTCTTTCTGGTCTTTCGCATCCAGAGATTATTTGATGAGGCAGCTAGGTCAACTGAGTTAGAACTACCTCCCAGTGACAGGGTGACAATTTTTGGGGGGTTTAAAAACCATGGGCATTTTTTCTGTACCTTTATCTAAGGCCAATGCTATACAGGGCAAGCTGTACCTTTTAAGAAGATAATTATGTCTTGTGCTTATATGGAGGACCAATGCTTTTCAGACTTCAATGCATACAAATCACCCAGGGATGTAAAGATGCAGATCCAGCAATCTTAACACGCCCCTAGGTGATGCACATGCTGCTGGCTCTCCGCCCACCCTGAGCAGAGAGGGGGGTGGAGGGAGGTGGGGTACAGGGAAGCAGGGTACTCACAGGCATGTTTGTGGTGTAACCAGCTCTACACTTGCAGATTTTCTGAAGGAACTAGTTAGTAATTTGAACGGTCCTATATGGGATGGGGCCTTGCTGGGGTACGCTCTCATTCTGGATGGGCCCTGTGTCGTGGCCATGTGTGGTTACTTTTGGCTTTTTTTTTTTTTTTAATGTCACTTATTCCTTGCAGGTGCATTTTGGAAAACTGCTTTTTAAGGTGGTATTTTTAAAAAGTGACTTCAGATCTGTACCTCTGGCCCTCAGCACTCCCCTACCTGGACCTGCTGTGACCTGGCTAGTGCTTTCCTTAACCAAACTGTCCCAGGGAGGCGACTTCAAGCTGCTCTTGGGATGCTCCCCCTATCGACTCCTTGCTTTGAAGAACTCAGTTCCTTTGCCTGGGTGGATGGCACCAGAACTTTCTAGTAAATTTGAGTAACTGGTTCAATTTTACTTTGTTTGCAACTTGCAAGAGGCAGGAAGGTTTCAGTTCTCCACTTAATCTGAGGCAGTCAGGGCTGGTGAGGGCAGAGGGCCTGCTGTTCAGCACTGAACAGGAAATGTCTGAGGGAGAGATAAAGAATTCGGTAGCAAGAGCCTGAAACAGTTTTATTTGCTGTTGTGGGGATGAAGGGTCAGGAAAGAATAACAAGAAGGGGAAGGAACCTCGGCCCCCTCCCCCTGCCCCCAATCACTAAGGTAGGGCACATGGTACAGAGTGATCTGTGTGGAGTAAGTGACCTCCCCCAGCAAAACCTGCTGGCTGATGACAACAGAAAAATCCTGGAAGGGAAATTTCTGATCAGAAAGAAAAAGCCCAGGAAAACAAACTGTTTGCCTTTAGTATGGATTTCCTGTTTTTTTTTTTTTTAACATGGGTTTTATTTAAGAGGAGAAAGGAGGGAGAGTGGGGATTTCTGTGTCCCAGGGTTGGCTGAGGCTCAGGCCTTCAGGCAGGTATGGAAGAGGACAGGGACTTGACCCAGCCCAGGTGGGTACCACCTTTCTGCTTATTTGATTCCCATCTGCTCCCCAACAGCCAGGGCTGACTAGAGGAGCCCAGGCCCCCAGGCCAGCTCTGGAGGAACCCACTCAGGCAGAACCCACTAGTGTTTAACTGAGGAGTGTTTGGCTGGAGTGAGCTTCCCCATGGATACTTGTGAATGGAGAAAACCGGAGAGGCTTCAGGGAGGTCTTGAGAGGGAGCAGGGCTTGGAAATGTCCAGGACTGCACTGTGATAGAGGTCAAAGGCAAAACCTTAGACTCTTCTAGAACTGGTCTGAGTGACTTTCTCGCCTCACAGGTTCAGGTTTCCTCCTCGACTCTTTGCCGAAGCTCAAGGCTTTGCACCTGTCACAGGGGCAGCTCTGCGTGTTACCCAAGTCCTTCCCCCTCTTCCTTTGCCTCTAGAAAGCTGGTGGGGACATGAGAAAATGCCTTCATTCTCATGAAGACGCCCTCCCTTCCAATTCAAAACAAAACTCTCCCCTCCACAAATCCACAGAATAGAACTTAAAATTCAAAATTAATCTTTAAAAGAGAAATGAACCAATAACTTTCCAAGTCCACCTCATAAACACTAAAAAAACAAATCACCCCAAAGCCAAGAATATTAGTCTGGACTACTTCATGACACAAGGAAGGTCTCAGGCTGCCCTCCCATGTCAGTCATTAGTGTCTCCCTGGGTCATTTCTACATGCTAGAGATTCTTCTCAGAACGGCTCTCCACCTGTAGCCACTGTCCACACACCTGAGCCAGTCGTCTCATCAGAGAGAACAAGATGACAGATACCAGTAAGTTGAAAGGCATTTTGTAGTTCAGGAGATGGAGATGCTTTGAACACTCTGAGCTTCTCAATTTGCTTTATTGATAATATGTGCACCTTAAATACTAGTTGATTTAGCTTTCAACTAGTAGACCACGTTCATTATATCCCTACTTCAAAAATCACCGATTTACAACTGATTCTGGCCAACGAAACTTGTTAGCAAAAGATTAGGATTGAACTCAGTCAAACCTAAGACTGATTTAGAAGCCAAGTATTATCCCCTGTTCTCACCAGCTGCTGCTTGATTGCCCTTGCCCCATCCTGTAGGAACCAGGCATGGTGGTGCCCACCTATAGTCCCAGCTACTCAGGAGGCTGAGGCAGGAGGATCCCTTGAGCCCAGGAGTTTGAGACCAGCCTGGGAAACAGAAGAAAAAAAGAAAAAGTCCATCTTGTAGGGCTGTAGGATTCTTCTGAGCTCTGCTAACAAAAGCCATATACCCTCACTGCCCACATCCCCCTTTCTCTGGGTGATATCGGTTGATCCAGGTCTGCGACCCCACTACAGCCTGTGTGTGACGGAGGCCGAGGAATTTTCCACGGAGGGGGCCAAGTTGACTGGTGAGACCTTCGTCTCTATACATACACATACTTCTATATATAAAACAAAATATTTTAATTCTTTTTACATGGCTACAAGCGTTCTTCAGCCAGTTGACACCTGTCCTGTGGCTATAAGGTGACATGAGTCAGCACAGGTCATGCCCGAGCATCAGGACAAGTCGTGATTAAAATTCTGCACTGAGAGCTATGGATTCACGGCAACAAGAGCCACCTGAATCAACTCAACCACCGCTCAAAATGCAGTTTGTCCCAGTGCAAAAGCCACAAAACATGTCATACGTCTTACCCCTATACTGGATTTTTATAAAACACATATTTAGCACAATCAATGTGCTTATTATGCACTCTAACATAGAGCACAGGAACGAGATCGATGGAGCACAACCCCCGCCATCTCCAAAGTGTGCAGACCAGACAGATGCCCGCAGTGGGATGGCAGGAAGGTAGCGCCACACTCCACGCCTTTCTGTGACTCCTCCAACACTGAGAACTTAGTCTTTGTCCGATTGTGGCAGGAGCAGTCACAAAAACAATGTCATTTCCTAAGGGCAGAAGATACCAACCTGGAACCGAGGGATTCTTAACCAGAAATCACTCAGAAATCGTTGCCCCAAGTCAGCTCTGCAGAGGGTGGCACTGACTTTGGGGGTTGAGGGCTGATGCAGGATCTCTGACACTTGCACACTCACATCCACATGCCCCCGGGGAAAAGTGCACTTCCAATGGCTGATACAAAAATAGATTGGCACGCTCTTTTGACACAGGGATGGTAGAAAAGTTTTCCTTCAGTTCTGCAAATCTGCTTCCCTCGTCTGCTCTGGCACTCTGTGCTCAGAGTTGGAATGGGTCTGGAGAGAAGGCCCAGGGTCACGCTGGCAAGGTGTGCATGCCTGGCAGGAAGCCCCTTGGAGGCAGCTGAGTTCTTGCTAGGTAGGGGACTTTGCTGTCCTCAGCATGAATCTTCTTTTCACTTGCTTGTGTAATGAATGGCTCACACTCTTCTCGGCCAGCCAGACTGAAGACTCCGTGAAGTTTCCAGTACTGCTTCTCTGCGAAAACTATGATGAGGATAAGAAGCTTGGTACTTTTGAGTTTTATTTTTTGCATTTCCAGTAGTGAACTCCGCTCCACAGCACTCAGAGGAATGGTCCTTCACCCTGCTGGGCCCTGTGCTAGGAGTTCTGGATCAGGCGTCTGTAGTGTGGCATGACTTCGTGCTCTGGTAAATGGAGTGCAAATTCTAGGGCCACTAACACTGGGAATTCAAAGGCAATCAGTTCTCGCCTATTCAGCCGGAACTTCTCTTCCAGTTTCTGCAATAAAATTAAGACATTTTAGTTTTAAAATTAAAATCTAAGGGGTTTTCTTCCAAGTGCAATTTCCCTATCCATCAGCCAGTAAGTGCTCACAGAGAAACTTACGAGTCTGTTTTTTGTTGCTTTCAGAATACCTGAGACTGGGTCACTATAAATACCAGTTCTGGAGGCTGGGAAGTGCAAAGTCAAGTCGTCACACCTGTTGAGGGCCTTGTACTGCTTCAATTCCTGATGGAAAGTGGAAGGGTAAGCAGGTCCATGAAAATGAGGGACAGCCTTGCTTCAGCATGAGCTACTCTTGGGGTAAGTAATCTAGTTCTGAGAAGAACAATTCCCAAGAGAAAGGCATGAATTATTATTATTATTATTATTATTATTAAGTTGTTAATAGACCTTTATTTTATTTATATGTGGTGCTGAGAATCAAACCCACTGCCTCACAAATGCCAGGCAAGTGCGCTACTGCTGAGCCCCAGCCCCAGCCCAGGCATGAATTCTTAACACTGTCGCCTCTCCAAGGCCCCACCTCTCAACACTGTTGCAATGGGAAAAAATTTTCAACATGAGGTTCAGACGCGGCGAACCATATTCAAACCACACACCCATTACAAGCAAGGCTCTGGAGGAAGAAGGGGAGGTATGGACGGCACTTCCTGCTGTAGTTCTGGTGGCCTATGGTCTGCCAGGAGGCTCACATAGGTCCCATCACTTCATTTAATCTTAAGACTCTCACAAGGTTGGTATTGCACTGATCTCCATTTTATGGGCTCCAAGAGGTCAATCACTTGTCCAAGGGTGGCAGACTGCAGTGCTGAGAAGCAAATCTACACGAGACTCCAGCACCACCCTGTTACATCTAAGTTATTCAGGTCTAGAAGTAAAACTAAAACGGAGCCCATCACCTACAACAATAATAACCACACCTAAGTTCTGAATGCGGGGAGATGATTATTTGCAATTCATTCTTTTCATTCTTACCCACAGGGCCTCAAGTCCTGGTGAGGCTGCCCTACTTTCAATGTCACGTATGTGAGCTGTGGCTCCCTGCCTGTCCATCCGACTGCAGCGGGATGGCATTAGAAATGGAGAAGAAATCTCACCAGTAGAGCTGTTGTTGCCTGCACTCAGATTATAACTGAGATGGGCTTTTTTAAAATTTAGTTATACATGGCAGTAGAATCCATTTTGACATAATTATAAAAGCATGGAATATACTTTGCTCTAATTCAGTCCCCCGTACCTTACTTTTCCTCCTCTTTATTGATCTCTCTGCTCTTAAGGTTTATTGCTAATGCAAATAGCTTTTTAAACCATTACTGATATATTCTGCACTAATACTATCAGCATTTGCTGTGTGGCATATTATTTAACTATGATATGAACAGTATCATAATTTTTATTATTATTTCTCAAGATTCATTAGTTCAACAAAAATATATCCATGGGGGATATGTTCTAAGCGTCCCTAAAGATGTCTGAAACCACACATATTACCTAACCCTATAGATTATTTACTATATATACATACCTATGGAAAAGTTTAATTTATAAATTAGGTGTATTAAGAGATTAACAATAATAACTAGTGGTAAAATAAAATAATCACACTATAGTGAAAGTTATGTGAATGTGATCTCAATAATTTAGGGTCCTTTACTCACCCTTCTTGTGGTGTGAACTGATATAATGCCTCTGATGAGATGCAGACCAGTGACGAAGGAATTGGGACGCGTTAGGCTACTAGGGGTTACGTGAACACAAGTACTGTGATACTGGGACAGTCAACCTGACAAACCAGATGGCAAAGTGACTGATGGGCAGTAGCATATGCTACGTGGGTATCCTGGACAAAGAGATGACCCATGTCCCAGGTGGGACAGAGTGAGATTTCATCACGCCACTCAGAAAGGTGCAGAATTTAAAACAGATTGCACATTTCTGAAATTTTCCATGTAGTATTTCTGGACTGGTTGACTGTAGATAGCTGAAATCGGGCAATGCAAAGCCATGATAGATGGGGACAACCGTATAGGGCTATTGATTCTCAGCTCATATTTGGCATCCAAGGATCACTTCCATGTTCATGTATTTACAGAACAAGCTAGATGATCGTGTGCCACTTCTTAAAGTACTGACCTAAGGAATACTTAAAAAAAAATATGGCAAGCACCTACATCAGCTCTTTTCCTCTCCCTTTGCTTCTCAACTAAAAATGGTGCTCTAGCATGGCCTCCCATGGCTGTGGCAGTTGCCTACTGTCTGGACTGTATGTTTGTGTTTCTCACAAATCCATGGGTGCCCCATACCCCAATGTGAAGGTACTAGGAGGTAAAGCCTCTAGGAGTAATTGGGCTCAGAGGATATCTTCAGGGTACAGTCCTCATGATGAGATCAGTATCCTTACGAGAGAGACCAGAAAGCTTGCTCTGTCTCTCCCTATGCAACTGAGGATACAGTAAGAAGGCATCTGCAAGTAAGGAAGAGGGACCTCATCAGGAATCAAAGCAGCTGGTACTTTGATCTTGGGCTTGCCAGTCTCCAGAACTACAAGACATAAGTTTTTGTGGTTTAGGAGACCTAACCTACAGTATTTTGCTATGGTAGCCCAACCTAAGACACCCCTCCTCTTGGGAACTGTGAGTAATAAACCTATGGTTTCAATGGCATTTGTCTCCTGATCTGTTGGCTTTACCGTTCCCCAAATTTCCTATTAATATACTGAATTTTAAACAGGTATTCATGCATTCACCCGAGGAGATCAGTGTTTTCTTGCTTTGATGAGACTCTCCCCCAGGAAGTAACCAAGGCAGGAGGTTTTGAGGTCTCACTGCTCACAAGACCTCTTGTGAGCAGACCCCTTGTGGTTACAGTAGTTTCCACTCCTCATGGTGTCCGAGAATAGATTTTTATGGCCAGATCCAATGTTGGAGCTCTTTGGTCTTGTCCAAGTAGACAACCTTCCCACCCCCGCCCGCCCCCCCAGCTCTAAGAGAGCCTATGAAAAGGCATCTGACATTCTTATGGGAAGGACAACTTCATGGCCCTTAGCTTTGTCACCAGCCAGGGTCCTTTTGAGAAGACCCCTGGACTGAGAGTGTGTCCCCCAGACACCAGGATGTAGGCTACTTACGTCAATTAAATGCTTGACTTCATGCTTTTTGAGGTCACTTCCGATCTTGGCTGCTAACAGCACACATGCTCCAGCACAAAGCTTCCGGTTCTGCTTGTTGAGCTTTCCCTTGAGGGCGAGCTTCTCAAAGTAGACGAAGGCCATGGCCACCGTAGGCTCCTCAAAGCCACAGTCCTCCTGGGCAAGTTTCCGCATCTCTCGTTTCAGACTAGACAAAGAAAGCAGGGAAGAATCTCACTAGAACCTAAGAGTTTCAGGGGACCCCCAAAGAGGAGGATGACTCCATTGGGAAAGCATCTTTTTCATCCCCAGAGGGTGATATGGGATGGGATTAAATCCCCAGAAGTGTGAAGGTTACATTATGTGTGGAAGAAGGCCACACAGTTGGGGGTCTAGACCCTCCCTGGTTGGTCTGGCTGCCCAGACCATGTTCACTTTTGCCCCAGATTCAGTGCCAAAAATCGCCACTTCCAGGAGGATGACAGACAGGCCGCAGGCCAGGCAGACAGAGGGGCCAGCAAGGGCGCCAACGAACATGACGAACACAGAAGGACCCCACTGAACACATGTGGATATCTGAGGGCCCCCTTGGAACCTAAGGGCGGAGCTATCCAGAGTCAAAGAGGGACACCATCTGGGAAACTGTGCTCATTCCAGAGATGATAATAGAAATAAATCAGGCGCTTGGTCTAAACTCTGCCAAATATCAGTTATGTTCATTAACTAGGACAGAAAAGGAGTCAGCCTAAGAACACATCAACCAGTGTCCTTGGGAAAGCCGCCCAGCAAATGGACAAAGTGTGAATACTTGATTTTTCTCAAAGTTTTTTTTGGGGGGGTTCTTTGGCTTGGAACATGCCAGAATCAAATCTTATCAGGACGTACACTAGCATAAATACTTACCGGCACATATTCCAACATGACATGGCTGTGTAGCCTAGCTTCTGTTACCATACACATGTATGCCCAAACACCTGCAATCATGATGTCATGGGGCACACAGACACTAGTTAGCTCCTCTCTGGCCCAGCAGGGTCAGTCACCTTAACTATTTGGCTGACAGCCAGGGTCACCGCAGGGTTGATCTAATCAACTACATGGGAAGTACAGCTTGTCTTTTTTTTTTTTTTCTGCTTTGGTGACTACTAAAATACAGGTCCCAGTTATCATCTTTGGGAAAGTGATTTTAGGTAAAGTTATCCCATTCCCTAAGATACTAACCCTTTTCTCTTTGGCTTTGCCTATACTTGAGAAACCACAGAACTGAATGTCACCCATTCTGTTTTTCAAAATATACATCTTACTGAGCTGGCACACTGCATGCACATAGCCTAAAATGTTTCTTTCACTGAATGAATGCCCTTCCAGATCTGTGTCAATCATAGGTCTGGAGTTTGGCCTTCTGTCCTGGCTCTCTGGGCTCTCCTACCACATCCAGGCACGAGTCAGCCAGCTGTAAGACCGTTTTTTTTTTTTTGTTTGTTTGTTTTTTCCCCCTTAACTGAATGTGACCATGCTTCATTCCTCAAAGAACAGAAAAAACATCATACAAAGCATGAGCTTAATGCGGGCTGGAAGAGAGGCTAGAAGGGCAAGTTCAAGGTGAGTTAAGGTGACATAAGTTTCCCGTACCTCCTTATTTTGCTGAGTGTCAGCTTAATATGAGGAAACTTCTCCTTGAAGGTCTCGTTCATGTCCTTCTTGAGATCTGAGGGCTTCACATAGTCAATTACTGTGGTCTGTAACAGATAAAGAAACACAGGTCACTCATTAAGTAAGGGTCCTATGAACTAATGACGTGCAAGTCACAGCCAACTTACAACTCCAAAAATGTGATGCAATGAGGAAACTCAGATTAGAGCCACAATTAGGGTCTCTGCTGAATCCAGGAGGGACAGTGGCTTTCTGGAAGCATATGGAAAGGAAATCAAGCACCTCATCCTACTTATAGTGATCTTTAAAAAAAAAAAAAAAAAAAAGCTAGCCTGTAGACCATCAGGAGAGAGGAATGGGAGTCTTTCTTTACTGCATTTCAACCTATGGTTCACACAGTGCGGTGCTTAAAGGCACCAGGTTTGAACTTGCACAGATCTGGGTTCAATCCACAGCAGACCATTCATCAGTTGCAGGTTTTGGAAGATGTATTTAATCATCCTATCTCAAGTGGCACGTCTGCAAAATGAAAACAATAACTGTACCTACTTTATATGGCCATTGGAGAACTGTGTGAGAAGTCAAGAGCTCTTGGCATACAGCAAGCACAATAAATGCTAGTTACTGTTTTTTAAATGTATTAAATTGACTAGGGCATTACAGTTATAAAAATAGTGGGGTTCATTTTTGACATTCATAAATGCATAAACTGTATTTTAAAAATTAGAAAATGTACAAAACTTACCATTTTAACCATTTTTAGGTGTAAAGTCTAGTGGCTTTAAGTACATTTCACATTGTTAAGCACCCATCGACACCCTCCACCTCCAGAACCTTTTCATCTAAAGGGCAGCTCTGTACCCATCAAACTCTAATTCTCCATCTACTCCCTCCAGCCCTGGCAACCATCACCCCACCATTTTTCTCTGTGCATCTGCCTCACGTAAGTGGAATTATGTATTTCCCTTCACGTCTTCAAGGTTCATCTGCACTGCAGCATGTGTCCGAATTTCCTTTCTTTTAAAGAGGCTGAATGACATTCCATTGTATGTATATAATGGTAGCTATTATTAACAGTCCCTTGAAACTTGAGTTCCTCCCTGCTCTCTAAATTCTATTCATCCCTGAAGACTGGCTCCTTTGAGCGCTTTCTGAATATTCTAGTCTTCCTTGTTCCTCCGTGCCCTGCACAGTTAACTGTCAATTAAACAGTCTTTTGCTGGGTTTCCTGGTTAGTCTCATCCTTCCTTCACTGTACGCCTGCCAAGGGCTGGCTCTCTTCTGGCTGACTGTATGGCAAGAATCTTCACCAAGCAAAGCCAGAGGAAGCAGCAGCTGCAAATTCGGATGTGAAGGCCCATTCCCAAGGATGGCCCACCGCCAGCAAAGCACATCCAAGGTTTCCTTAATGGCTCTAACAAAAGTTGGTGGCTTTCTCCGATCATTTCCATGTATGAGATACTTGGTTTGATTTTTAGAACAAGCTCATGGAATGTCTCTGGTGGTAGTTTACAGCCAAGAGCAGGCAAACAGCTAACAGATCCCAATTCAAACGGATCTTAATGGTACCTTCTTTGCTTCTCTGGAGAATTAAAGCAAATGGTCCCAATATGAACTCCCAACCTGGCTTAGAGTTTTGTAACACATGGGTGGACAAAGACTTGGTGCATCTTCTTGATCAGGAAGGGTCTCCCTGGGGCTGGTCCGTGACATGCCCATTCTCTTACGCGCCAGTGATGTGCTTTTTGAGAAGTGGCAATCCAACTCTGACCAAAGTATTTGGACACGTGCATGTGTGCTTGCACTGTGTGGCAGGGAGGGGAGGTGCACTTGGAATTTTTATGGAGGCCTCTCTGGCTGCCAAGGTCAGGCAGAGTGGGCACCGCCCTGGGGCAGCTCTCCAAGATGGATTTGCCTCCCTTCCTGCTTCAAGAACCACTTAATTTCATCTCAAAAAACATCTCTGGATTGAATAGGATGTAAGATAGATAGATAGATAATTTTTTTTCCATTCCTGGAAGCAGGATGGAGGGTTATCATCTACCATGCTTGCCTCCAGGTGGGCCCACCAGCCAGTCCTTGTATCCTGAATACCCAGCACAATGCCCCCATCTAGGTACCCTGACACACCAGACAGGCCCCTTCTTCTCTTCCGTTATGGACAAAAACCATGAGGCTGGAATGATGTGAGCAGGTTTAAGCAAAGTGTCACTTGCCTTTGTCGGGGGCCAGAAGCCCTACGAGTCCTGAGCAAGAATACCCCATTCTGTAATGATCATTTGAGTTTTAAAACTGGTTTCCATGGAAATGTCTGAGGCAATGGGAGGCCTGGATCCCACCCTGCAGCAACTACAGCAGCTAACTGGATGGTGCTTCTCTGAAGATCCTTGCAACACTTCTCTTGAAAGAAGGCCCCACTACCAAAAGAGAAGTCTGTGAATGCATCCCACCCACCCCACCTGATAGACAAGGAAACTGAGGTTCAGAGTGAAGAGGCTCACCCCGACCTCAGCCAGCTGCAGACAGGGCCAGAGCTGGGAACTTGGTCTTCCAGACTGGTTGCTTCCAACTCATCCTCCCACAACCCACTCCCCCCACCAACAGTCCTCCTGGCTTTTCTTTCCTTGACCAGACTGAATGGGCAGTGAGAGAAGCTCCCACCTTAAGGGGCTCTTGGGAGGTCTCGAGAAGTTGGCTGACCATAGAGAGGGCTGAAGTAGTAGCCAGGTAGCTTCCACTCCAGCGTCAGGCAACACAGAGAAGGTCACTTAACATGTGGTCCCTATCTGCACCAAGACACATTTCCTAGGTGATTTCTACGTGCTGAGGTCCAGGGAGCTGCACATCCGACTCTCCCCGCCTGACTAGCACCTGTTCCAGGTTCAGCTTGTGATGCTACTTCTGCAGGCTCATCCTGCTAAGCCACCGCCCTGCGCACATTGCTCTTCCTGTGACTCGCCTTTATGAAACAGTAAGCTCTGGACGTCCATAGTGAAGGGCAAGACAGCCAATAGTTCTATTTCCCTATGACTTTGTAGTTAGGAGCCCCCAAAATGATTCCAGTTTTCCCTTTAGAATGCTCTGATATGAGAAGGCAGGACTGGAGAAGTCACACACCTGTCATTTCTGTTGCCAAGATGCACTGAGGGAGAAATCCTGGAGTCCAGTTTGTAGCCTGGTGTCCATTTTGTGGGTACAGACCACAACAGGGGCACCGTGGGTCTGGGGCTGGTGGTTGGTGCCACCCTCCAAGCCAGGAGTCAGAGTCCTGATCCCAGAGAATGCGAGTTTCTGCAGGGTGGCTTGGGGATCATTTCTGAATTTTGACTTGGGCTGTTCTGTCAGCCCCCTTAATGATTCTCTGAACTCTTCGGTATCTACCCAGCTGTAACACACCCCTTTCTTAAACTAGCAAGAGTGGATACGGAGTTCTGCAACTAAACTGTAAACAACACACTCTATACTTCCATTGATAGTCTTCACAACTACCACTGAGGACAACAGGATAAGAGTGTCTGATCCCCTGGAGGTCTAAATGTGGTCAGGTTACTGAAGACCACTGGGGGTCTTGCCCCCTATCCCTGACACACATTTCCTGGTGAGTCCAAGCCTCAGAATAACTCCTGAATACCAACTCAGCCCAACCCATGGCCCTAGTAAACCATGCTTATCAATCAGAGCACTGAAGGCTGGTGGAGAATATGAAGTGACTATTAGTCTCCTGGGGCTGCTGTGACAAATGACCACAAACTAGGCAATGACAGCAATGCATGGTCTCTCAGTCCCCGGGCGGAAAACCTGAAATCCAGGTATGAGCAGGGCGCGCTCCTTCTGAAACAGAATCTTGAAATAGAAACTCTGGCTCTGGGTAGAGACCTTCCTTGCTCAGAGTTTCTGGTGGGCCCTGCTTGTCCCTGGTTTGTAGATGCCAGTGCTCTAACCTCTGCCTTCGCATGGTGCTTTCCCTGTTGTCTGTCTTCTATGACTCTGTGTCTCCTTATGTGGACAAAATCATGTGAGATTATGAGGCCTACTCCAGTCTGATTGCATCTTAATTTACTTTTGAATAAGGACACATTCTAAGGTAGTGGAGGGTTAGGAAATCTTTTGGGGGACACGACTCTGCCCACTGACTCCTAATGGTGCACTCTGTGCAGCTCGCTGGACCCTGACCCCTGGCTTCCACACTGAGCCTTGCTCTGCCCCTCACAGAAGGCCTGAGCCTTGGTCTGAGAGAGGACTTCATAGGTAGCCTCCTTCCCTGCCTCCTCTGCTGGCCATGACCGCCCTTCTCTGTGTCCCCGATTCTCCGAGTTCTGGCTCAATGGGAAAGAACCGACTCAGGAGCCAGACCCCTGGGTTTAAACCAAGCTCTGCTGCGCAGTATCTGGGTGGCCTCGGGCAAACTGCTTAAGCATTTGGGCCTAGGCTTCCTCTCTGGTTTCTCCATCATCTGTTAGATGCTGATGGCTGTGGGACATCTGCTCAGGAGGTGGCCCCATGTCCCGCTCACATTCAGCACACAGGATACTCATTTGGGACAACAGTCAGCAGCCTTCGAAGTGACAATCTGCCCCCAGACCCTTGCTCAGACAAGGCCTTGCATGCAGAGCTGAGGTTATATACAGGCCAGATTCTTGGTACTAAACAAATCACCTTGTGACCAGGTCCATCTCTCATGTCTTCAGGTACCTGAGAGATGATGTCCCCACTGGCCTCTTACTCCAGGTCCCAGTCTCTGGAGCTCAACAGGCTGTGATTTCTCAGCACAGTCCTGGACATCTTGAGGAAGCCATATGATAACACTCAGAGGCTGGACATCTCAACCATGTGGGAGACCACTCTCTTTCCAGCCATGGTCATGAGCAAAGAGGCAGTACTGGGAAACTAAGCTACAGGCGGGGATTCCCAGCCCCCAGCCTTTCTTTCTGGCTTGGGAGAGAATCAATTAAACGTGAGGCTGTTGCCTTGTTTAGGCTCACCTACCAGTGGAATTGTAGGAGTTATAAAAATTAGCAATGCCTGAGTTTTGCCAGAGTGTGTTATTATAAATCAAAGTGCTAATTAAGCAGACTGTGGCTCCTTC